GAATCACTCCAGCATCCCCTTAAGAGTAGATATTCAAGTATTTCCAATTTCATGTACTTTTGTCTAAGATTGTACGTCCAATACATCCTTAATTCATTCTTCGTCCCCTTCCAACTATTACTTCAGAAAGAGACAAACGTGAATCAAACTAAGATTAAAGTTAAGCGACGTTTGGTGAAATCGGGCCTTAATAGAAAGAAATCAACTTTTTGCCAAATCAAGCGAAAGAGAAAGAGAAGGGGGGGGGGGGGAAGAGAGAAAAATAACGCGAAACAGAGCTACAGAAATGTATCGCGCGGTCGTTGTCTCAATTAGAACGCGCGTTCGCGTAGAAATAAATCCCTAGCGCCATTTTCGGATGAATCTCGGCTTAACGGGCCGAGTCATGCGCGGTAATACAGTAGAAAGTAAGCCAGCTGTAATGACGTATAAACAAGCGGGCTACGGCGAGTAAAGAAACCATATCAATTCTAATAAAGTGAGCTCATCGCGAGTCGTAAATAAGTCATAACGATGCGAGGAGAGCGCGAAACTGGAGCAACTGTGCGGCGCATCGTAAATAACTTAAAGGCCGATCAAAACACGACGGAAAAAAAAGGAAGGCGAGGTATTCCGTGTTGACACTTGTTTAGAATTTCTTTCGTTTCCTTTAGGAAACTTTAAAAGCAAAGGTGAAAGAGACAGAGCGTGCGAGCGAGAGAGAGAGAGAGCGCAACAGTCCGATAAAGAATCAGCGAGAGCGACGGAGACAGACGGGGATCACGTGGCATTAGAAGAAGACGTCGAGAGGATGCCGCGGGAAGGTGCGAGCGAGATGAAGTACTGCAATCGGGGAAAGAGACAGAACGACGGCTCCACACATCAAAGAAGCGAAGCGATTGCATCAACATTCACATCTCACGCGACACACACGCGCATACTTTTCTCATCTTCCCTTTCCCTCTCTCTCTCTCTCTCTCTCTCTCTCTCTTTCTCTATTCTTCCAAATCTCGTCGAATTTGAGATACTAACGGTATTATCGGGTCGGCGTCCGTCAAACGCCCGGTCGACACGACACGGCCGCCCGCGAGAATTCGCGCACCCTGGATCTATACGGCCGTTCCGAAAATAAAGACGCGACTTTCACGTACGGACGCTCTCTCTCTCTCTCTCTCTCTCTCCTGCGCGGGCGCGCGCTCTCGCGCGCGCGACTCACCTCCTTTTCTCCTTGTGCTTCTTCTCCTTCTTCTGAGTATCCATGACGAAGCGATGCTCACGGAGGACGAAGGGGACGTCGCGACGCGTTTCTCCACCAGCGGCACCAGGCGCACGAAGAACCGGGACACTCTCGGTCACTGCCAAGGAACGTATCCGGGGTACGCGCGGGCGGCGCGCGCGCTCGCGTGAACCAGTCTTCTCCAAGCAGACTTGGAACGACAGGAGACTCGGGCTCGTTCGCACACGCACTTTGCTCGCCCAGTCTATCCGTCCGTCTCTGTCGCTCTATCGGTCTGTCTCGGCGTCGGTATCCGTGATCGATGCGCGCACGCGACGCGTGTCGTGTCACTGCTCGACGTCGCGCTGCGCCGCGAACGAGGGACGATGGGCAGCGTCGCGTTTCGACGGGCGCACGGGCCGCGCGCCAAACAAGCTCATGGTGCGCGTCAACGGCGACGACGGGCCATCGCCGACAGCTAACCGGGGAACGACGGCACTGTTGTTATCGCGTTACACCCGATGATCCACGACCGCGGCTACCGCGGCAACATACGCGAGCGGAATGACGATCAGGAGGGGTGGGAAGAGCGCGCCAAGCCCCGCCATCTGACGACGGCCGGGCGAAGTGGCGAGCGACCCAGAAAACGCGCGGTACATTCGAACGGGAGAAGCTGTATATGATTTGAATGTGTCGATTTCAAAGAATTTAGACTGCGTACAGAAACACCAAACCGAGTACCCCGGCGTATCATTCTAATCCTTGTTGCTCGCTGTATGTTAAGCGGTTAAACAAGGATGAAACGATACACTGGGACAAGTCATCTGTTTTACCGACACATTCGAATATAGTGTTTGCGCTGGTGAATCTTTTTGTTAGCTTTTATGCGCAAAATAATGCCAGGATAAATTGCGGACCGCACAACAGAACATTTTCGTACCTAAAACACTCAGTTCAGAAGTCTAATAAAAAAGATATTGGTATTTGAAATTTTCACTTTGCAGTTCAAACTAAATTTGAAATTGGCTTTATACAATTGCAAGATTCTCCCGCACGATTAAAGCACGCATAAGGACAAAACGAGGGACAGTCAACTTTATATATAAAAAAAAGAGAAATTAAAAATATTACTTTATAAAGAATTGAGGTTATCTAACCTCAATCAACTATGAAGTGAGTTTTAATTTCCGTTCATTTTTTTTATGAAAAGTCGACTAGTTTTGTCTTTATGCGTACTTTAATCGTGTGGAAGAATTTTGCAATTGTATAAAGCCAATTTCAAATTTAGTTAGAATTACGAGTGGAAACTTTCAAATACCAATATCTTTTTTATTAGACTTCAGAACTGAGTGTTTTAAGTATGAAAATGTTCTGTTGTGCGGTCCGCAACTTATCCCGATATTATTTTGTGCATAAAAGCTAATAAAAAAAATTACAAGCGCAAAAACTATATTTGACTGTGTCGGTAAAAAAGATGGCTGAAGGATCCTCTATTCAAGACAGTCTTGAATATAAGATGTGACTATGTATGTACCTATCATGAAAATGTTCGGAATTGATTCAGACTTTCAAGGAATTTTTAGAAAACATTACGCTGATATAATTTAACCCTAATCTAACAGTTGAAAGGCATTGGCGTAAAAAGGGTAAACGTGAAAAAAGTAGTATATGATACCCTGAGCTGTCGAGTAGTGATATACATATATGTATAGTTTTTATATAATCATCAGCACCTTTCGAAAACGAAGTTTACTGTATCTACACTTTACGTTTATAATAATGACTTTGCAAACCTATTCAGATGGCACTGCCGAGGCTTTCCTTTTTTTTTTATCAATACGAAAGTAGTATATAACACGAAAAAGGCCTGTGTCCACGATGCTAGAACTTGGTCCAAGCCAGGCCTTTACACAGTTCTAATATTTATTCTAATTTCGTACTTTCATATTTTTCTATATTTAAATTGAAATACATGCGTACTCGTGGCCTGCAATGAGGAAAGAAGAGGACCGAAGCGTGAAAGTTGTAACATAAATGCGAATAAATAAAAAGAGCTCTCCTTTCCAGATAAAACCGACAAGATCAAGAATTATTTGACGCCAGTAAATGACCAACAATGATTAAGCTTATAATCGACCATAACTGGCAATGTGTTTTTCAACGCATAAAATTCATTGCGAAAAATATTACCTCAGCCAGGGTTTCAACCTGGACCTTCCTTCACTCTAGGCGGGCGTCTCGGCCAATTCGACCACTGAGGCATATAAAACTGATAAGCTTGTTCCAACTTATTACATAATAGTTTGCGAATGGAAGAAAGAATGAAAAGATTTAAACTGTTAATTCCATATAGTACTGCAGTTTCTTTTTTGTCGCACGATAGATCATTTACACCCGCAATTTTATTAGTTTGACTTGAATCGGAGATTATTCTTTCTAAAAATTTATTTTCAACTATACACAGTGCAACAGGTAAAGTTAACTTACTTAAATTAATTAAGATAGAGAGACACAAGAGAAAGGTGACTACCCTTAATCTGTCGCACTCTGACTAACAACCATCGCCTTGCTATTGCCCTCGCTGCCGGTCGGCGGCTGCTGCTTCTTCTCCTCCTCCTCGTCTTCCCCGATCTCATCGTCCTCCAGGTCATCCGCGGATATGCCCTTGTTCTCGTACAACGCCGGGTACTGCGACATGCAACTCTGCATTGTCTCGAACGCCGTGCGACAATCCGAGCCCTTCGGATCCGCGGTCGAGTAGTGGAAGCAAGAGAAGGCCTCGCGGAACTCAACGCCGCACGGCCCGGTCGCCATGCCGCCCAGACACGGGCAGTTCCAATTGATCTCGCCGTTAGGCAACAACAGTCCGGGACTGGGCTCCGGTTCGGGTAAACTGATCTTACTGGGCACTGCGTGGTCCTCCTTAGATGCAAAGATAATGGTGTCTTTGCCCACCTTACGTATCAGTGGCATGGCGGAAGTTAGGGGTAAACCTCCCCGTGCTGGTACGTCCTACTGTCGGCAGTGAACGACAACAAGTTGGACGACGCCCGGTGAACCGTGTACACGCACCTCCTTCCCTCGTACGTCGAGCTCAAAGTCAGGCTAGCCCGGAGTCGAACGTAGCTCTTGTACGGACAGCGCAGAATAAACCTGCGCTGCGCGGGGCAGAACTTGAGGACGTTTACAGGACTCTTGGCTCCCTCCTCCCCGAACAAAGTCCGAACGGCTTCCAAAACGTTCTTCTTGATGTACACACGAGACACCGTGAGATCAAGATCGGATGGGATTTCTCTGCAAACGGAAATAAAATAAACGTCACCGCTTTGCTATATATTACGTTCGCAGTTTGGGAGTTTTCCGAACGTGCAAGTCTCCCAGAGTTCTCGCACGATCGTCTTGGACGATCGTCGCGCGCTCGCTCGGATTAAAATCCGAGGGAGTGACGGGTATAGGTTATGTCCGGCAGACTAGCAGTTACGTCTACATGAGGGAATAGTGAATGTACTAACAAGGAAACGTCTAAGTAATACATCCTACGATGAGACGTCGGCTCGTCGCTCATATCGACCTTGAGTGCCAACCCGTAGACATCGTAGAAGCTTGGACGGTACTTACACGCGATGCACTTGCACGCCTGCAACTCTTGCAAGGCGTCCGGTCCGTGCCCCCCCGTGCCCTTACAGTGAAAGTGGGAAAGCAGCCCGCCAGACGGCGACAGTGCGCCGAGTGCGGCGCTGCGTGCCGAGATTTACGGAAACGAAAATCTGTCGCTTTTTAAATTCGCACCGAATCTTCCCGCGAGAGAATAAGAAGTGCATCATGCAATGATTAGCGGACTCTCTTCTCGTGAAATTTTCGCTCGCTTCTTTCCTTCTTTTTTTTGTAGAATCGCGGAAATTATTTTGTATTCAAACGCGCGGCTCTGCCTTTTAACGTCGCGTTCGCGAATCTTATTGCCAGGCTCGGTTTCGCCAAACGTTGCATAGGCCGGGATTCACAGTCCGTTCTTAGATTTAAGATCATTTTACGTATAGAAGCCTGTGAAGAGAGAGAGAGAGAGAGAGAGAAGATTTAAAAAGACTTTCTTTCTCTATCTTACACCATCGTAAAAGAAAAGAATCGTGCCTGCGCAGTACTTATACAGGCGTGATTCTCCTTGTCACGATGAGACAGAGAAAGAAAGTCTTCTTATATCTCATAGACACATGGAGGAAAGAATAACTGGAAGGAGCAAATTACCCTTCGGCTTATCTGGGCTTATCTAACCAGACGTAAGGGGGGGAACAGTAAGCGCCATATTGGTTTGGCCTGCTGGAGCGCGACATTTGAAATAGTAATAAACGTAATGTCGAAAAAATGATATACTCTTTAGATAATTTAATTTCTTATAATGTACGTAGTTGTAAAAAATTGTAATATGTCAAACTTTCCAATTGAAACAAATGAATCGTAATTTATAAACTTAAAATTTTTTTAAACGTAATATAGGTAATGATATACTCTTTTTAACAGCGAAATATTGTGTACATACATACATATGTATATATCCTGGAATAATATTATCTCAAGTACAGCTCTGAAGATGTATATTGCAAGATAAAACTCGAGGCAAATATAATAAATATAATGGATAGGTTACCTTTGAAATCAAGCGAAAATATAAACTAAGCACTTACACATGGAATGTAATTTTTTTCATTGGCATTTCCCACTATTTGAATAATTCACACATATATACAGCAATCGTGGCGAACTGAAAACAGTTGCACCTAGTTCAAGTTAGTGCAGATTAATGTAATTACTTGCTCCAACGTATGAAAGTATTTACGCGTTATTCGTCAACACTGCGAATTTTTCTATGTCACACCGACTTTGCACTAACACACGTACAAAAATCCTGTCATTGGTTATAATAAAAACATGTCGGATGCGTAGTACGGATCGGCGCGAACGTGAAACAAAAGAGCGAGTGCCCATACTGGTTATACTGTGATTTTCTTTCATAGGCCATTTCCATTTATAATAAATAATGTACGCCAGTTCGTATGCGTCTTTCCTGGATACGATCCTGAAAAGGGCCCAGGCACTTTTAGCCGTTGATACACTGTTGGCGCGAATAAAAACATGGCGGAAAATTGAGAACGCCCAGATCAAAGGTGCCGACAGAGAGTGACCATGCTGGTTATACTGTGATATTACTATGGATAACCAATCACCACGAGAGATAGGAGTTTATAGCTACCCCCATAATCTAACAACGGGTTTACGCTCCCTCCAGTTATTCTTTCCTCCATGCATAGGTATAATATATCTAGACCGAGCACTGAGCAGTGGGGGTAGAGGTTCACGTAGAAAAGGACAAACTCTGTTTCGTGCTATTTCGTTCTCTCTCGTTCGCATGTAAACAAGCATATTCGACATTTGCGAATATGCGAGGCGTTTTGAACATTTCTACAACGTTATCAGCACAACAGTCAAGAGTAAACAGACGTGTAAGAGTAAACTCTCGCAGACGTTTATGAGGTTGGCTAAAGGATGAAGTGTACAGAAAAAAAATACACGAGCCATTCAAGTAGCTCTATCTCGGAAACAGTGGGGAATGGGACGTATATTCATATGAACATTTTTGCTTAAAATGACCGATACTATCACCCCCCAGAATATTGACCTTTCCTCCTAGAACACCCTGTATAGATTACAATGATTAGCGTGGCAACTTTTTAGAAAAATTTTGAAAAATACCGCGCCAAGAGAGAGGAATTGGAGGGTTTTTCGAATCGCCAGTTCAAGTCACGTGGCAGCTGGGAGATTTTTCGAACGCGAACGCGCTCGAAATTTCTTTCGAGTGTTGCAAAGGGCACGAATTGTACGAGCGCAGGCCACGGGATGTTGCGAACTGCAAAAATTGGACGCTTCACGCCCGTCGTACCCTCCCGGAGCGTGTAAACCCGGCATTAGCCCGCTCCACGATCGACCACGCGTGAGTGCCGGCGAATGCCCGTCGGGAGGGGAGCCCGTCGGGAGTCCCCCAGGAACTCGGCTTTCAGTCGCAGCTCGGCTGTCGGTGCGCGACGATCGAGTCGCGTTCACTTGCTCGCGTTGGGCTCTGCACGCACACACGACATGCACATACACTCCCCCGCCACACACCCGCCCACACGCATACACGTACCCAGACACATGTATATAAATACATAACACGTTTCACGCGCTCACACGCAGGCCGCACGTACCCCGCAGTGTGTAGGACGTGTCCGCGTGAAGGTTTATCCGAGCGAAGGCCAAATTCGTACGCGTGCGGGGGTGACAAACCGTTAGCGTGATTTCTGTACGTGCAGCAAGGGTGCACGTGAGCAAGATAGAGAAGGGGAAAGGGTAAGAGAGAAAGAGAGAAAGAAAAAAGAGAAAGACGAGGAGAGAGACGATTCGAAGAGGAGGCGGAACGAATCGGGGGACCCATGCGTCGCGCGATATAGCGGCGGCGGCGCGACACACGCGCGCGCGCGCGCGACATAACACACACACGGACACGACCGGGCGAACCGAACGCGCTACTACGCCCAGTCAGTCAGTCGGACGTCGGCACGGGCCCGACGACACCCCGACGTTACTCCAGTGGCTGGTTACGCCACGGGGTTCCCACGGGTCCGTCTCGCGAAGAGGTCGACGCGGCACGCGGGGTGCTGATCCGCGAGCGGGGCGGCAGGCATCGGCGGCGACCGGGTTGTGCGACCCGGGCCCTCGAGCGACTCGTGACAGTGAAGTGAAGCACGCGTGAGAGGTGGCTGCGGGGAAGGAGGGACGAGGAAGACACCGGTTGGTTGGGTGGACGAGGAAAGAGCGAGAGAGTGAGAGAGAGATAGAGATAGAGAGAAGGAGAGGAGTCGGGAAGAAGGAAGAAAAGGGAGAAGGGAAGAGATAAAGAGAAGGTAGGGGAGAAAGAAAGAGGGCTGCAGGACGGGTGGTCCTGACAGCGAGCGGTGACGAGAGAAGACCGACCGTCCTGAACGAGCGAGCATTAAACCCCGGGGAATAATAGGGGCTCCGTACGTAATTGGCACACTAGAACGAGCTTTTTGTCCGAAAGTAAAAGAAAACGAAATATGCGATAGTATAACACGCTCGCCGCGCGCGCTGGGCTTCTCTCGGGAGCTTTCCCTCGGTGTTGGATATATCCTTTTGGTCCAACCCTTGGCTAAGGCTACCGCGGCGATGAGCCATATCCCTCCACTCTGGCTCGCTCGAGAGTGCGTGAGTCTAGTCGGGGAGTATCGTCGTGGTCGTCACTGACTATCCTGGTAGACTCGTCTCCGTCGTCATCATCGTTATCCTCGTCGTGTCCAGCGACAAGGAGTACTCTCACGCGCGTATATCTCGAGGTAGTCGCGGCTGCCGATCTTCAGCCGGCCTCCTCCTCGCGGCGCGCCCCGGCCACGGGGGGCTGCATCAAGACGTTGCTCGAGACACGACAGACGGCAGCGGATGATCACTGTCGTCGGCGAAAATCATCGCGAGATAGCCTAGCGTCATGAGAGCCTAGCGTTCGACACCGTGGGTCATCGTGGGTCGTCAGCGTCGGGCGTGCGAGAAGAGACGGCGGCGCGCCGGCGGAAGCCCGGATAGTAGGAGGAGGAGGCACCCGACAACATGGCCGCCGCCTGCTACGAGAAGGAAGTGGTAGTAGGTGCCGCCATTCACCACCGACATGGGCACCACCACCATCACCATCACCATCACCATCATCATCACCATCATCACGCCAACGGAGTCGTTGCGCCGTCCGTCGGCGGTGTGACCGGCCAGACGGTGCTGCCGGCGACGTCCACCGGCCTCGACGATGCTTCCGTTGTCGCCGCCGCGGCCGCTGCCGCCTCCGCCTCCACTTCCAACAACTCGTCATCATCGGTCAATGCTGCCAATGTCAATGCCGTCAACGCCAGCTCGGTGACGACGAGCGCCGCGGCTACTGCGGCCGCTGCTGCAGCCGCCGCTGCCGCGGCTACCGCCACAGCCGCAGCCGCCGCCGTGGCGATCAACAGCTACAAGGTGCAGGAGTACAAGGACTACTCGCAGCCGCTCCACGTGGACTGCAGCGTCGAGTACGAGCTGCCGAGCCAGGCGAAGCCGCCGCCCGGCGGCGGCGAGCCCCTCCTAATGATCCATCCGTGCTACTATCGACGCGCCGAACGCGAGAGGAGGAGCCCCTTTGTCAATAATCTGCCGCCCCCGGCGGCGCCGGCGACGGCGCCTATGTCTGCCTCCCGCAGGAACGGTCGCAGGAATGCCGCGACGGCGTCCGCGTCCGCCGGCGTCGCTGCCGTGACGGTCGCCACCGCAGCGGTTGCGGTCGCGACGACCTCCTCGACGGCGACTACGGTCGTGCCACCGTCGAGTAACATCGTCGTTTCCTCCAATGTCGTATCTGCCTCCGTTGTGTCGCCGGCCAAATCCATCGCGTCGTCTTCGGTCGCTGCGGCGGTGGTGACTACTGCGGATTCCGGTAGCGGCCTCATATCCACAAGCGGCCAGATGTCCGGCGTCGCCATGGCTGCCTCGTACCGTGCAGCGCTTAATGTCGCAGCCACGTTATCTCAGCAACAACAGCAGCAGCAGCAGTCTCAGCGGCGGCATCATCCTCAACAACAGCAGCAGCAGCAACAACAACAACAACAACCGACTCCTCATCTTCATCATCATCATCACCACCTTCACCATCATAGAAATATCACTCATCCTCATTCTCATCATCAGCAACAGCAGCAGCAGCAGCAGCAGCATCATACCCAACAACAACCTCAACGATCCGTGACACCAACGGCTTCCGGTACCGCCGATCTCATCTCCGCTGACGAGAAGGCAGTCATATCAGGTATTTATCAACATTACTTCCGCGCCATGCGCGCCCACAATCAACATCGCCAGCAGCAGCAGCAACAGCAGCAGCAACACCGTACCGCTACTACTCATCAGCTCCATCATCAACCTCACCAAAGCGACCGAAGTTCCTCCTCTTTGTCGTCGGTCACGTCTCCGACGTCCGCGTCAATCTCCGGTATTCTACGACAGACTTATCAGCAGGCGTACAGCAATATTACGGCCACGAGCTCGAGCTCGGGCAGCCATCATCGCGCCGGCACATCAGCGGTCTCGGCGGTCGCCCATCATCCTTATAGGCGACCGTCGGTGACGTTGCTATCGCGAACGGCTTCGCATATCGGTCAGCAGGCCTCCTCTTCCTTGTCCTCCTCCTCCTCCTCGTCCTCGTCCATCTTCGGTGCTTCCAACAGCGTGGCCGGTGTCTCCAGCGTGTACGCGAGCACGATACACAGGCATCACGCGACCTCCCTGCACGCCCTTCAGGCCGCTGCTGGCTTCTACGAGACGCCAAGTTATCACGCTCTTCTGCCTCAAAGTTAGGCGACGGCCATCCGGCCGTCCGGATGTCCGGGCGGTTTCGCGGCGTTGGGTGTCTGTGCGTGAACAACAGTTGAGCTATCGCGAATCGAAGCAAACGCGCGTTGGATCTCGATCGCGTTCACTCGCGGTAATCCTCGGAGTCTGCTCTGGAGTCTTCTTTCTCAATTCTTTATCGAATTCTCGACGAAAGTAACGGGAACTTGAAGAAGAAGATGAGAAGAAGTCGAGATTTCGAAGACTCAGCTAAGAATCAAGAAGAGGATGATATCGAATTTTTAAAAAGCCTTTCCTTGACGTCTCAATACGCGCGTTTGCTGGTAAAGCGCAATTCATAATAGCATCGCGAACAACTTGTTGTCCAGTAATCGCATAACGACCGTCAAATTTGACCTTGTTGCCGATTATTGTTTGCGCCGAGCATCCCCAACATTTTACTTGTAAATTATGTACAGATTATTATTTTACGCATATATAATTTACGTAGACGATGCGTAGTCGGTATAGGCGACACCTATTATGGCTGTGTTCTGTCCTTTCCTTCTTTTTTCCGACATTGTGTTTAAGCTTTTAAGGAGTCCTACAATTTATAGTTGCCTTGCAGTATCGATCATTTCACAGCACTGTTTTTTCGTATGAATAGGACGAAGCTCGATTGTTAAAACAGCAACGAACGTTACTGTTTTAACACTCACTTGCAGATATGTGTAATTTATATAGTTCGTAGAGATGGATGCAGGACGAGAGAGAATTCGCGCAAACGTCACAAGACAGTGCCCGCGGAAAGCATGTGATGTCTTTACGCGAAATTGCAAATGCAAACAGTTTATAGAAACGAGAGGATCGGGTCTTTCTGACTGAAAATAAACTGCGATGAAACAGCTCCCTCCCCGATTAAACTCGAAGGAACGCTAAAGACTTGGGCGTACAAAGAGTCCTTTCGCGCGCGGTTGATAATCTGAAGTAGTTTCCCTCAGTCCCTCTTTTTCGACCCGAGCGATTCTAACGCAGACTTTGATGTAGATTGTAGATAAATAAATACCGTCGATATATTGAGAAAAAAGTTAAATTAAAAAAATATTTCTCGATTCAACTGTATGCGTCACGGGTTGTCGAGCATATTTTTGTTAATTCACAAAAATATATGTTTCGATAAGTGGCATACGTTTAACTTAAAACGTGTCTATATTTGAACTAAAGAAATACTTCTAAATAAACACATTTAGGCCGGTATTCATAGTCGGATCTTATATCTTAAGAATGTCTTAAGTTTATCTTAAGATGCCTCAGTGGTCGAATTGGTGAGACGCCCGCCTAGAGTGTAGGGAAGTCCAGGTTCAAATCCTGGCTGAGGTAATATTTTTCGCAATAAATTTTCTGTATTATTAAAAATGCCAGATATGGTCAAGAAAATACTGAAGTTGTTTATCTTAAGATGCTGTATCAACATTTCATTGGTTACGGAATATCTGAAGATCTTAACATATATATATATATATATATATATATATATACACACACACGCACATCGTTTAGCAGTCGTTTTAACAAGCGGCTCTTTCTTTTGACATCCATTCGCTGAAGGCATTAGAGCCTTAGCAGAATGACAGACTTGTAATTTTAAGACAATGTTTATAAAATGTCGCTTATACTTGGCGCGAGACACTACCGTGTCTCGTGACATTAATCTATTATTAACAGTCATGCAGTAGAATTATTACTTTCGCACGTTTACATATATACGTTTATTTCTTGATGCTAACATTGTCTTCGTATACATATTTAAAACTTTATAGATACCAAACAGTTATTGTGCGTTACTTAAAACAAAGAATTAAGGGAACAGTTAAGGCCAGTTGCAACAAACAGCGGTTAACTGCTAACCGAAGGTTAATTGATTTTCCGTCTCTTAAATAATGAGGTGGAAAAAGATAGGGAATCGACTGGACTCTGGTTAACGGTTAACCGACGTATGTGAAACTGGCCCTTAGAAAGAGACAAAGGATTAGTTAAATTAAGCGATGTTGGTGAAACACAAAACATTGTCTTAAAAGTGCAAGACAGCCATTCTTCTAATTGTAAGGCCCTCACGCACGCAGGCGGCAGTTCAGACATTCCACATGCAGACACCCTGGTCCCTAGTTGCTCGCTCTTCCTCGCGAACGGATTGATGAGAGCGAGTAATTCGCAGGCGCATTCGCGACAACGACCTAAATGGCGGACCTCCTTCGCCGAGACACGCGGCTATATCGGATTATGATCCGAACGGCGCTGCTCGCCTCGATGTGGAACCACCTTAATCCGGAGAGAGAAGGATGGGGAAGAGCGAGAGAGAACCCGCAGCCCGTTCTCTCGCTCTGTTCCGCGCGACTTATCATCTCGATCGTTAAAAGTGCATGCGGGTGGGTCTATAGCGCGCATAGTCGGCATAGGGTACATCTGTCTCCCCGCGCGCACACACAGGGTGTCCTGAAAGCACGGCGAGGAGCCACCGTATCGCACCGCTCGACGTTATGGTTCACATTTGCGCGATATCGGTTAACGCCGAGTTTGAATCACGTTTTTTTTTGCATATTACATTTGATGGCTGCTATCTAGAAAGAAAATGGATCTTTAACGCCGGGATGTTCCCGGAGGAAGGAATCGTATCGTCTCGTTTGCCTGTACGATTCGGCGTTGAATGTTGAATTTAAACGAGGAAGCATTAAGTCAACTTGAGCACTAAACGACGTTAAGACCCATTGACCGAAACAGCTCTTAAGCCTGCTTTCTGTATCTTTTATCGTTCACGCCTGGATTTTCTCCTTGAAGAGAATTTTATCAAAAGCCCTTTTTTTTCAAATAGTTAATCTCAAGCCTACTTTCAGATCGGCCAAGTTTCGAATTTAACATCCCATTAAATTGGAATTTTCCAAACCTCTACTTGAGATTAAATTAAACGCGCGTCGTAATGTATATTTGCCAAAGTTCGACTTCATCAAAGTCATCCCTAAATTTCAACCGCCCGAAAATGAAGAAGGGAGAGAGAGAGAGAAAACTGCTTCAAGAACGAGGGTGAGACTGTTTTTTTTTCGCCGCGTCGCCGTTCTTCTCTTCCACTTTGCTCCTTCAAACACATACACACACGCGGCCGCGCGATTCGACGAAGTCCTGAGTTGCGCGAGACACCCTGTATAACCGCCGTCGCCGACACAACGATCGTACGTGCCGTGTTCGTTGTTGACGGTGAGCGGGTGGCCGGACGGACGGGCACCGAATAAACACACGTCGTGTGCATACATGCGAGCATGCACGCACGCACATACACTCACGTACGCGCGCGTGCACACGCATACACGCTTATATACACCAGCGTGCGCAAACCGAGCGTACACACACACACGCGCGGCACTCTGACGGATGGGCCGGACGGGTCGGAGGGAAGAGGGACAGTTGAAAATGGTCGTCGCTCGTACCACGTTAGGCGTGCGTTTCATCCACCTGCAATGAGCGCGACTTCAGGTAGAAAAGAGAAATTCCCGTTTGCTTAGGGCCCGCATTAGCATCCACTACATTCTGGCTCGGCGTTTTCGGGGCCCCGCCGTCGAACGCCCCGGCCCCTCTCGAGAACTCGTGAGATGTCCCCCCCCCTTCCCTGCCTTTCCGCCCTCCTCGCTCACTTCTCCATTATTCAGTATCCTTTAGAAGGATGGAGGACGTGGCCGGTATTCTGGAAGGATGGACAGTACGCTCGGTTTTGGTCGGGGCTCTCCGGTTTCACGGCTCTCGACGGTACCGTGGACTCGCAGTTCTATCGGATTCGAAGAGTTCACGAATTCCTGGTCCTCGATGCCGCCGGAGAACCCTTCGCGTACATGGATAAATTTATTCTACTCTCGAGACAACGCGCGGAGGGGAAATAAATTACGGAACTCTTATCTTTGGAAGGAAGCGAGATACACTCAATCTTTGATCCCACGGATCCTCGGTTACGCGTGTCCCCAAAGCCGCAGATCTTTGTGTCCGTAGTTCCGCGAAGCCGCAGATTTTCTTGAAAGTATGGGGTGTCTGGAAAGAGCGTCGGATGTCGACGTTTGACCGCGGATATTAGAAGACCAGTTGAAAATGTAGGAAATCAAGGAATCGACTCTTTGCACCCGTCTCTTTTGTGCGCGAAAGAAATCTCACAAATGACAATGATTTTCTATTGCAATTTCGTCCGAAATAATAATGATAAGTTTATGGAATGCGTATTGTACAGTGGAGAATAAGTGAGTACACAATTGATACAGAGATAAGATACTACAAACAAATGGTGAGGCATCAGCATAACTGCCGTTACGAAGCCCGCCAGTAATGGAGAAATCTACAGAAAATTAATGCACGATTAAGTGCTCTTTACGTGGGAGGCAAATCTAACTCGATGATTAAAATTGCTTAGCTTATATGTATATCGCTTTATACTATGGTCCGCTAAAAAATGTACCAGACGAAATTTGCGCGAAACGCGAGTTAGTACGTCGAACTCGTGTCAGACGTTTTAACGTCGAACCTTTCGTAGAAAAATAGTTCATACAAATCCGAGATTCAGAGAATGGCGAAGACAATAAAATCTATGGTGAACACGTAATAGAGAGAATCCGATTTTGTAACTCAACTCTCGAACCGTCCCGACCGTTTACCTTTACTGGTAAATGTATTACTGCCATGATTCATCGTTGGGATAATGACTTTTCGCAGTTCAGCCCATCTGTGATGGATCCCAAATCCAGGTAGGGACTAAGGTCGTTTATTTAGGTCCCGTAGCATTTCCCTTGTCGGCATACTCTCTTCCGAGACCTTTCTCGAATTCTTCGTCTCCGTTTTTCAGCGTATCCAACTGAACGGCCGCGATGCGACGTAAGAGTCGTAAGAGCAAAAATCGATGCCGCGATGATCGTGATCGCGACACTAAATGATAAGCATTGTTGTGCATTCTGCCAGTGACGTTCGCCACGTAATAGCGACCAGTCCGTTTATGGCCGATTAGAATCTTACCTCCCTATAGAAGAGGACTTTTTCTCGATTTCTCATCTTCCGCGAGACTTCCCGATTTCAACGTGATTTACTATGCGATTATTAAAAATATTTCTCTTGACTGACTGTGAGATAACACTTGTCGCAATAAATTCTTTAGTCCATTTCTAAAGGATACTTATTTAATATTATTAAGAGGAATTGGCTTTATAAAATCGAAAGTTATCGATGCGCAGTTTGCTCAGTTGAGAAATAGATATATACGCAAAAAATATTATCAGGCACTAAACAGATCCAATCGGATCGTACAAGGCGTTTCTATTCCTGTTATTTATATAATAATACAATATATATTCTCAGTTTGACGCTAAACATAAAATAGATGTTATGCCGTAAGTTCATTAGTATTAGTAGAATACATGTGGAATATCATAAATTTATATGTAAGTTATAAAGCAGTTCATCGAGAGGGATACAAATAGTCGAGTATTTTGCAGCCCCTTGTTAGCGGCGCGCTAGGGTTAATTATCCGAGTTCTGGAAATTATCCCTCTTCTCCCGCGGGAAAGATATAATCCGAGGTTTAACCCTCGGCTGGATAGAGTCCTGATGTGTAACATAGCGAGTCGAGGGTGAGGGTCATTTATCGTAGGAAATTCGGGAATATCGGGCGTTAGTTGCGAAAACGTCAGTTTCGCTCCGTATTAGTCGAGCGATCCGCCGCGTAAATTTAAGTCGATGCTTCCGTGATTTTCCGTGGAAAACTCATCGAGGCTATCAATCATTACGTGCAAGATCGATAATTGGCGCTCGAGGTTGCTCAGTTTCGGGTCAGGTGGGGAAAAGGAAAAAGAAGCTACAGGATTACGATTCCCCTTTCGTAGAAGTGCGCTTGCGAGCGCCTTTACGAGGACGGACAAAATTGTCGCGACGCAATTAACGACGAAGAGCGAGTGCGACGCAAAAAGCGATGTTTGCCTGAGATCGAGATACTCGTCCCACGGCGCTTAAAGCAGCAATTAAAAGCTCGTTACTCACGTCCGTCTATTAATTATTCGAAAAACCGGCC